CTCTATTTTTTTTAATAAAAATAAAATATTCCAATCTGTCCCCACAATCATATCAGATTTATATTAAATAAAACTTAATTCTCTAATTAAAAAAAGGTGTATGTTATCATGTTTTTTTTTCCCATGATTAAATTATAATAATCATTTGCAAAGTATGTGGCTTAACCAGTACTATACTATATAATATTATGTTGTGTGAGTTTTTCAATTTTCACTAGAGAGTACAATGTATGTAAGCTATTTACTGTTACGTTATATCATTAAAATGAACTCCTCCTGTAAAAGACTGTGAAAAGTGTTTAAAGCATCCAATACGGTGCGTATTATTGGAAATTTTCTGCAATTCGAAAAAACATAACCCGAAATTTTCTGAAATTGAACAAAACCCCCTAGTTCGAGTCCAAGTCGTCAAAACCACTCCTCTTCTATTGCCCACTTTTTGTACCCAGAATCCCTCTCCGTCCCCGTGTCCCGATCTCCCTTCAAATTCTGAAATTCAAAAGGGAAACAATCCACTCCCATGAACGAAGATAAACCCTAAAAGAGTGTCTAAAACCTTGACAATTCCCGTCATGGAAAAACGCTACTCGACCTTGTCAATTCCACCTCTGCCGTCGATGACCGTCGACCTCAATTTCTCTTTTCCCCCGTCTTCTGTTCCCGGCGGTGGAGGCGGAGACGTTCCAGATATTCCTGGCGCGTGGTACGGAAACATACAATACCTCCTTAATATCTCAGTCATCGGTCTGGTATGCTGCATCCTCATCTTCGTCTTCGTCAAGCTGCGAAGCGACCATCGACGGATGCCGGGTCCCTCAGCCCTTGCCGCCAAGCTCCTCGCCGTATGGCACGCGACGTGTCGCGAGATCGCTCGTCATTGTGGAGCCGACGCCGCGCAATTCCTCCTCATCGAAGGCGGTAGCTTCGCCCTTCTCCTGCCTATAGCCGTTCTGTCTGTTTCCGCGATGCTTCCCTTGAATCTCTACGGCGGGACCGCAATTCTGGACGATCAATTCTCTAAGACCACCATAACTCACATTGAAAAAGGTTCGAGTTTGCTTTGGGTTCATTTTATTTTCGTCGTTATCGTCGTTGCCATTGTGCATTTTGGTATTTCCTCTATCGAGGAGAGGTTAAAGATCACTAGGTTTAGAGATGGGAATGGAAATTTGAGCGATCCCAATGCGAATTCTACTGCCATTTTTACTATTATGGTTCAGGGGTTGCCTAAATGTCTAGGGAATGATAAGATTTTGCTGCAAGAGTATTTTCAATATAGATATCCTGGGAAAGTTTATAAGGTTATTGTACCCATGGATTTGTGTGCTTTGGATGATTTGGCCACCGAATTGGTTAAGGTTAGAGATGACATTACTTGGTTGGTTGCTAAGATGGACTCTAGGCTTTTGCCCGAAGATGGTGAAGATGATGAAAATCAAGCTGGAGGGTTATTGGGTTGGGGACGGTACCTTTGGAGAAAGGTGAAGAATTTTTGGGATCATGTTATGGACTGGTTGGGTTTCACAGATGAAGAGAAGCTGAGGAAACTTCAAGAATTGAGAGCAGATCTGGAAACCGAATTGGCAGTTTATAAAGAGGGACGTGCCCCGGGTGCTGGGGTTGCTTTTGTAATGTTTAGGGATGTGTATACAGCTAATAAGGCAGTTCACGATTTTAGAAATGAGAAGAAAAGGCGGATTGGCAAGTTCTTCTCTGTGACAGAGCTGAGGCTGCAGAGGAACCAGTGGAAAGTTGAGCGAGCCCCATTGGCAGCTGACATTTACTGGAATAATTTGGGATCGACGAAATTCTCGTTAAGAATAAGGAGGGTGATTGTCAACACGTGTTTGCTGTTGATGCTCTTATTTTTCAGCTCTCCTCTTGCATTGATCACTGCCGTTAAGAGTGCTGGGCGTATTGTTAACGCAGAAGCAATGGACAATGCCCAGTTATGGTTGGCTTGGGTGCAAGCTTCCAGCTGGCTTGGATCTTTAGTATTCCAGTTCTTACCAAATGTTATTGTGTTTGTTAGCATGTATATTGTGATCCCTTCAGCTCTTTCTTATCTCTCCAAGTTTGAACGGCATCTGACAGTTTCAGGAGAGCAAAGAGCTGCTCTTTTGAAGCTGGTCTGCTTCTTTCTTGTAAATCTTATCCTATTGAGGGCTCTTGTTGAGTCATCTTTAGAGGGTACAATTCTACGGATGGGCCGATGCTACTTATATGGGGAAGATTGCAAGAAGATTGAAGAATATATGAGTCCTTCGTTCCTGTCAAGGTCATGCCTTTCTTCTCTTGCTTTTCTAATCACAAGTACTTTCTTGGGAATATCTTGTGATCTACTGGCACCAATTCCATGGATTAAGAAGAAGATTCAAAAGTTTCGGAAGAATGACATGCTTCAGCTGGTCCCAGAGCAAAGTGAAGAGTACCAATTAGAACATCAGGACATCAATGGTCTTCGGAGACCGCTGATGCCTGAAAATGTGTTTGATTCTCCGAGGTTTAATAACATGGAACCACAGGGACAAGATCTTTCTGAATATCCTATCAGCCAAACCTCACCTATACCCAAGCAGAAATTTGATTTTGCACAATACTATGCGTTTAATTTGACAATATTCGCCCTGACCATGATATATTCTTCATTTGCTCCACTTGTTGTCCCTGTTGGTGCAGTTTATTTTGGGTATAGATATGTGGTTGATAAGTACAACTTTCTATTCATATATAGAGTCCGTGGATTTCCTGCCGGCAACGATGGAAGATTAATGGACACTGTGATATGTATCATGCGGTTCTGCCTTGATTTGTTCCTCATTTCCATGCTCTTGTATTTTTCTGTTAAAGGAGATCCCACGAAGCTGCAAGCCATACTTACTCTTGGATTGTTGGTAATATACAAACTTTTACCTTCTGATAGTGAGAGTTTTCAACCAGGCATCTTGGAAGGTATACAAAATATTGACAGCATTGTAGATGGAAGCATTGATTATGAGGTGTTCTCTCAACCCAATTTTGACTGGGATACGTATTACCCATGATATTTCAGGCATTAACACTGTTTATTTAGTTGCTTGTCTCTCACTGCATTCCCACTTCTCTCTGGGTCTTAGAATCAGAATCAAAATATTTCTAGATGTCTATATGTAACTGTATATCTTTGTGTAACATTTGGTTCCCTTTTTTTTTTTTTTTTTTTTTTTGTTCAATTATTCGCACTTTTACAAGAACTTCCCAGATCAGGTTGCAGTTGGGAATTGGTGGTGCACGGAAGAAGGTGAGGGCAATATTTGGAGCAAACTTAGAAATTTAGTGGAATCTATTGTAAATTTACGCATTGGTTTTACCTTACCTTAGTTAGGATTTTGTTGTAAATTCCCTCAGGGGGGAACCCAAAAAAAAAAAAAATTGAATTAAAAGAAAAAATACACTTTTAAATTTTGTCAAAGTAAATGAAATTTTGAAATGCATTATCTAAATTTATTTGATATTTCATTGACTGTTTTAAGAAAAAAAAAAAAAAAAACTTTTAATTACTGAAATCTAAGCATGAATTTATTAACGAATTTCATTATTCTAACCATATAAAATATGTTCCTTGCTAATTCCAATTGGATTATTAAAAAAAAAAAAAAAAAAAGAAAAAATGGTTTTGGATTTTGATGAACTAAAAAGAGATGAAAAAAGAAAGAAATGTTCAAAAGTGGATCAAATAAAATTGAAGGGTTGGAGTAAATAAAAGAGAAAAATTAGGGGATCAGTGAGTACCTATATCCACTCTTAACCAACCATTAATCCTTCTCTCTATCTCCTTCACTTATGCAACAACGAAGACACACGACCCTTCTTCTTCACTCCATCACTAATTTCTCACTCCCCCCCCAACTCTTCCTCTTTAAATTCATTCACACCTTTCCTTCTTTGTCATTTCAAGACAAAAACAAACATTAACACTTTAAATTTGGTTTTATTTTTTTTACTTGTGACCATTGATTTTTTTGGGACGAGGGAGTAAAAAAAAAAAAAAGAAAGAAAATATGCATCATTTACAGATTAAAAGCAATCTTGTAGATTCGTGTTCGAGTAACTCCAAGTTTAGCAACAAAGGACAACCTCATTGTCCCAAGCCTCGTCGACCTGGACCTTCTGTTCCTGAGTTTCTCATGCCCTTTAGATGTTCCAAACATAGGTTTGTATCTTCTTATTCTTTTTTTTTTTTCAAAACTGACAATAGTAAATTATCAATCATGTATTTTATTTATAGAATTCTTTACAAATAAGATGCATGTAATTCTATTATATATATATATATATATATATATTAGTCTATTAGTAATCAATTAAGTTTAGAAACAATATTCAAAGAAAGTTGTAAAGATTTTTATATTTATACTAACTTTTGGATGAAGATATACAAAATATAATTGTTTGTCGTGTTTGTTTTTGATGAATCAGTCAAACAAAAAGTAATCCAAGATTAGAGATTCTGAACATGATTGCAGATAAGGTTATGTTAACGTAACTTAATCAGATTAATTTCAATTTTCGTCTTCAACTAATTATAATAAATGAATGAATATGCAGACAATCGAAGGAATAGAATCTACATGCAGTGGAACTGGATGCTCACCCTCGTGTTATTCAGGTTCTCCACCAAATAGAACACATAATCCTTTAATACACGATGTCCAATTTCTTCATCAAATGGAGCTTCTCTCTCCCTTTCCCACAACCAAGCTTTCCGCTCCCTCTCCCTATCCCATTTGATAATTACCTAATCTCTCTCATCAATTTTCCACATACCCTAACCAAAATTTTCTAATTTTGATAATTGGCACCAATTTTTCTTCTCATCTGAGTTGTAATCAGTTTTTTTTTTATTTTAAATTTTTTTTTATTATTTTGTAAATACCATGAATTCATATCTTGTAAATAATGATTTTGGTGATATGAAATTATGGTTCTATTTATGATCTTGAGATTTTTTTTTTTATATATTTTAACTATTTATTATTATTATTTTATAAAATTCTATTCTATTATCTCGAATCGATAAACTAAGTGATAAGTTCAAGAACATCCTCTTAGAATATCTAAAATTTCAAAGAAATCACCTATAATTATTAAAACATAATTTGATGGATGCAAATATTAATATAATTATCTCAATTAATACGTCACTAACCCTTTTACTATTACCATATAACTTTCTTGTAGTAAAAAAAAAAAAAAAAATTATAATCTTACTAATGCAGTGAGTTAATTAACTTAACGTGAAGATTAAATTAAATCAACTTAGTTAGACCAAAATTATTAATTTATTTGTTAGAACAAAATTATGGGATATTATTAGATCACGCCACGTCAGCAGTTACGTAGCGTTAACTTAACGGAAACTTAATTTCTGTTACGTTAAAGAAGAAAAAGAACAAACCCCCCGCCACACCTGACCCCTCAGTTTCAACGTCCACAACTGTCAAAAAACTTTAAAAAGAAAAGATGGGTCCCACTCACCACATGCACACTAACACATACAGTCAGCCTACTGGCTCCTCCCCCACTTCTCTTCTCTGTAAACGAAAAACGTCAACAAACAATCTTTTCGTATTCATCCCAAGAAAATGTTTTTAAAAATTTCCCTCTTTTTGTCCTCCGTGATCTAAATCTAGGGTTCTCATTTTCACATATCAAAATTCCCTTTTTTCACGGGGAAATCTTTTACTCGTTTTCCAAATGCATTGTTCTGTCTTTAAAATAATCCTTGTCTTGGTTCTCAATTGGACCTTTTTGAGTTCTAAGATTTGTAATGGCCGCATCTTCACCTTCAAGATGCACCACCGGTTCTCCGACACCGTTAAGAAATGGTCTCGTTCCACCGGAAGACTCGCCCATTTCCCGCCGCGGGGAAGTTTCGAGTACTACGCCGTTTTGTTCCACCACGATCGCGTCCTCCGCGGCCGCAAGCTCTTTGATACTGACTCAACCCTCTCTTTCTCCGATGGCAACTCTACTTTCCGCATCAGTTCTTTGGGATTGTAAGAATTCCCCAACCCCATCCCTCTTTTTTCTCTTTTCCTAATGAATTAGGGGAATTCTGAAAGTTTGGTTATTTCATTGTAAGTTAATCGCAATTTTTTATATGCTTCGTTCTTTTGCAGCTTGCATTACACAACGGTGCAACTGGGGACGCCGGGAATGAAGTTTATGGTAGCACTTGATACGGGGAGTGATCTGTTCTGGGTGCCCTGTGATTGTAGTAGATGCGCACCCACTGAAGGAAACATTTACGCTTCTGTATGTTATCCTTTCTTCTGTTAATTATGTTCTCTCTCTCTCTCTTTTTTTTTTTTTTCAAAATTATTTCCTATAATTTGTCTATCCATAAGCAAATGCAATGAATTGGGTAGGCAAATTGATTGATTGGAGTTTACAAATTTTGTAGCTTTTTCATTTGGCAATTCAGAGTCGAATTCTCCAAATGATATTTGAATTCTTGGAAACTTGCTCTGTCAACGGCAAGTAATCATTTTGAATAACCTACGGATACCTCAAAACCTCATTGGTTTTGCAAATCTTATTATCTATTTAATAAAATTTACATATCTACTACAGGCTACATGGAATCTGTTGGAATGTGCTGCGCCTAAGTGTCGTAATTCATGCCATATGTGAAATAAAGAAAGAAAGAAAGAAAATAAATAAATAGCAGTCGCTTTGGTGATCCAAGAGTCATCTGAAGTGTATAATCTTCATTGTGGCAGGATTTTGAGCTTAACATATATGATCCTAAAGAGTCATCTACTAGCAAGAAAGTCACTTGCAATAACAGTTTGTGTACACATCGTAATCGATGCCTTGGAACATTCAGCAGTTGCCCTTATATGGTCTCTTACGTCTCAGCCCAAACTTCTACTTCTGGTATTTTGGTAGAAGATGTTTTGCACTTAAAAACAGAGGACGACCATCCAGAAAATGTGGAGGCGTATGTCACTTTTGGGTGAGTTACTTGATATTTTCCGTTAATTCTCTTCAACTCATTCTTCCTTTTTTCCCTTTTCTCTTTTGACACCCTCCTTTAAGTTGATGCTAATGCAGTTTGAATTATGCAGCTGTGGACAGGTTCAAAGTGGTTCTTTTTTGGACATTGCTGCTCCAAATGGTTTATTTGGGCTTGGCATGGAGAAGGTATCAGTCCCTAGCATCTTTTCCAGAGAAGGGCTTACCCCTGATTCTTTCTCAATGTGTTTTGGATCTGATGGAGTTGGAAGGATAAGTTTTGGGGACAAGGGAAGTCCTGATCAGGAAGAGACTCCATTTAATCTGAATCCATCACAGTAAGTGGTAATTTCTCGTATACTTGACTATCCTTTAAGAACTATAGATTTAATTGCTGTCTTAGATCTGGAAATGTTTTGCAGTCCAGCCTATAACATTAGTATAACTCAAATTCGAGTGGGGACATCATTGATTGATGTGGATTTGACAGCTCTTTTTGACTCGGGCACCTCATTTACATATTTGGTTGACCCAGCATATACAAGGCTTTCAGAGAGTGTAAGTGCTTGTTGTCATCAAACTCAAAAAAGAGGCTTGTGCGTATATACATGCTTAGATAAATAAATATGTCCTTATAGATGTACACATATATAAATGATACTTAATGTCCTTTTGCAGTTTAATTCACAAGCACGCAATACGCGCCGTCCACCTGATTCAAGGCTCCCTTTTGAATATTGTTATGATATGAGGTGATTGCATGTTTGTTAGTTCTTTCTCTCTAACTTGTTTTTTCTTCCGTTTGATGTTAAACATCTAATCCTTTTCCATTATGCTGCACAGTCCCGAGGCAAATGTTAGTTTGGTACCTAGCATGAGTTTAACAATGAAAGGAGGAAGTTATTTCACTGTGTATGATCCAATAATTGTCATCTCTACTCAGGTAAATCTCCATTATTTTGTTTTGTACATTATTGACCAAGAAACAGTTATTAATAAAATTTTTCTATAATGATTTGCAGAGTGAACTTGTGTATTGCCTAGCTGTTGTCAAGAGTACGGAAATGAATATAATTGGGCGTAAGTGTTCTATGAAGAGTTTCCTATAGTTCTCAAAATTTCTAAGCTATAGAGGTTCATGATTAAGCGGGTAGACTGTTTGGTTAGCATGAACTTTTGAATGTTAAGCTTATGCAAATTGAACCTTTCTGCTTCCCTGCATTTTAAGGTTATAACCAGTGACTAGGTGGTTGCTCATTTTGTTCTGAACCAACATGCCGACTGCATAATAAACTCTTAGCCTTGCTTTGCTGATTTAGCTGTTACAATATTTTACAGAGAATTTTATGACTGGCTACCGTGTAGTTTTTGATCGAGAAAAATTCATCCTGGGGTGGAAGAAGTTTGATTGTAAGTGTCGCTAATATATATTCCCTTTCTGTTTTGTCATTTAAACTTTTGTTGTTCACGCATATGTTACTCATCTATAACTTCTATCTACTGGATGTACCATGCAGGTTATGACATTGAGAATTCTACCTCTTTTCAAGTTGAACCACACTCTAAATCTGTTCCTCCTGCTGTCGCTGCCGGACTACGTAATCACACTACTCCAGAATCAACTAAAGAGACCACAAACAAATCTCAGACTTCAGCTTCTTCCGTGTCTTACTGTTGCCGTACTTATCACTGGACTTGCCTCAGATTTGTGTTCATATCGTTTCTGTTGTTGTAGCTGCTCTATATTCATTATTTTTCTGCTTTCCGGTTGCTGCCTGCTGTGGTAGTAATTGGTAGAGGTCATATACCCTCGCACAGTGTACTGCTCAGAAATCACCTCACTGGTCCTAGTTAGCTTTGAATTTGGCTTGGCCAGATCATAGATACAAACAATTGCTTATCTGGAATCTGGCTTGGCCAGGATGACAACTCGTCCTAGACAGAAACAGATTTTGCTGGTGTAGAAAACAGCCCTTGTACCATTTCATTTTTGTCCATATCCCTCATTTCAAAATCTTTAACATATGGAACACTGTAGAATTCTGTACATTATTTCTATAATAGAGACTCTGGGCAGAAAACTTTCTTCTCTTTATAAATGAAGCCATGATGGTTCACATTTCTATGGTGGTCAGTTTCTATTCAAGATAACTCTTTCGCATGCAGCCGTATCATGTTCTTATGCACTCAAGTAGATTTCTCTCACTAGTGTGGAATCGGTCCAATTTGTTGCCATTAAAGAGGAGAAAGACAGAGCAAGGATGGTATGAACTAAAACAGTATCATTACTTAAAAGGGGTCAATGACCTTTTATGTAGGACAGTAACTGGATTGTTATGGCTGGACTTGGACCTTGTTGTGGCCACTATATATTCCCTGTCATATGCTACAGTGACCATTAATGAAAAAACATGTGGCATCAACTTTAATTATTACAGAGAAGTGTTTTTATATATTTTGTGTAACTTTAAAGCACCAACTATTGCAAGCTGAAAATGAAATTCAAAGACCAACAAGTATTGAATGCCAGCTTCCACGTTGTTTCA